TTTTTTTGTTTGTTTTGTGTTGGGGGGGGGGGGGGGGGGGTTGGAGGGGGGGGGGGGGGAATGATGAGAAATTTATTTAAGGGAGGTGTATCTTAAAATTAATAGCTACTCAAACACTTCACTGGAAATGTGAAGCATAATACAAAATTAAGTATGATCATGACAGCATAGATCCCAAGTACTACTTTAGTTCCATACTAGATGAAGCCTACAACATTGGTGATGAAATGGTGTTACTTCCATTAAATCAAATCAGTCATTTTGAGGGGGTGTTTACTGAAGGAAAAAGATTTAAACGTCTATATGATGATGATTAAAAATTACAGTACTGCAACCTACATACCCGTAATGGTACACTAATAACTAAGATGGGAATACATTGTAAAAACAAGATACAGTAATGTAGTATTGACCAATGTGCACAAATGCTAATAATTGAATAGATGACCTTCAACCTTTTGTACAGATGTATTCATGATCAATAAATGACCTGGACATACATAACATCAGAGACTATATAATCAATCAATATAAATTATATATTTACACTGTAGCCATTATTTGAGTATTTAAAAGCTGACACCGTACAGTCTCAGATGAAAACTGATGCTAGCCAATACAGTATATTATAAATTAAAGATATAGACTTGACCCCAGTTGACCTGATTACTGGTGATGAACTCTGAATTATAAAGATCTGGTAATGAAATTGGATTTTGATTGCTGCATGGTGTCTCCGTGGGGAAATTCTGACAGGAAACAACAGTCCAGTTTAACCATGGCGGTATGAATTCCATTGCTTAACTATAATTTAAATGAATAATGTACTATTCAAACAAAATATGTCTAATTTTCCATTCATTAGGTTAATTTACAACCAGGATCATCAATGGATATTTGAGTAACAATTAATTAATTTTATTTAATAAACAAAAAATATTGTTTCTCGTACGCTGCCTATATATTAAAGTTTTTATGGATTATCTTCAATATTTCATGCTAAAAACATTTAATTTTTTGGTTTTGGGAAACACTTTTTCCGGGGAGGGATTTACAATTTATTAAATTATGGTATAAGATTGTTTAAAGTCAGGCTCCGGAGAGAAATTTTGTTTTTGATGTATTACAAATGGCAATAGAAGTTTTTATATATGGTGAGTAATTTGTATCTTAGTAACCATTCCCAATCATTTCTTCAAACACCTCCTTGAATAACATATAAAAAAATGTTTTCTCTTTTATCCCTAACTGATATCCCACATGAAAAATGTTATAAATTACCTTAAAAAAATGAAAATGAGGAAAATTTTCTCACATTGCATAGAATTGTAAAGAGAAAGGTATTTGACCTTTGACTTTACATTTCAATGGAAGGAAGGGGAAGCTGATGTGGAAGTTAATGATGAGAGACTGCAAACTTGAAGTCGAGAAGGATAAATTGAAAGTAAGTAAAATATTGAAGGACATTCTAATGCCTTATAGAAATTCACTATCATACCAAGAATATCACATAATGCATATGATAATAATCATAAACCTCAGATTATTTTAACAATAAAACACCTGAACATTAAACAACATATTCCCCTATCAAGAAAGTCCAGCTTCAGAGTTCAATTTCTGATCTAAGATAACATTAATGGTTATTAAACAACCGTAAAATTTTCATGTAAATATTTGCTTCTGCTTAAAAAATGGAAATCACAACGATGTAACTATGTGATAAGAGGACACGGAACACAACTCAGGCTCAGTATTTGTTTATTTATTAAAAATTAATCACATAAATTGTGAAAAAGGATTGTGAAGGACACAGACTGAAAGTCCACACATATGTGTTATCTCTTGTTGCGCAACAAATACGTTTAAAATATATGAAAAAAACACATGCATAAATGCATGTTAGAAGTCTACATAAGTGTTATAAATTTGTCATTGTAGTTCAAGTTATTGGTAATAATGCCAAATTATGTGTAATTTAACATGGTTAAAAATGCATTTTTTTAGAGCTCCATTCAATAAGCAAACAAATTTCTAGTGTGTTCAACAGACAAAAAAAAAAGTTGAAAGACGATGAAAAACATAGTAACAAAATGCGTCCATAAAATGTGTGTCAAAATATACATTTGTCATAGGGTTGGTACTGTATGTTGCTAATCAATGTTTAATTTGTCTTTTTTTATCCTTTATGCAAGGTGGATAAAAAAAGAACCAACAGACTTTAAAGAGTCATGTCATGTGCATACATATAAGAACTTATTTTGTCTAGCGCCCTCTAGCAAAGTAGTTGACAACGAGCTAAGGAACCGAAAGGTTATGTAAACTTGACTCTCCATTTATTTTGTGTGTCGATAAGGCTCCCGAAAGGGGCGTGTCATTTCCATGACCGACTCTCCCTCAAGCTGGTGTCGTCTTCTCCAAAAAAGCTAAACTAACATCATCTTAATTAAATTTGAAGCAAGCAGTGGACACATGCTCCTGCTAGAATTTATTTTTTTCTAGTGGGAAATAAAAAATGCTATGGTTAATTAAAACTAGGAAGCATATTCAATGAAACATACCTAGAACATTTCCTACTGATGACTTGCATGAATAAAGTGAAAGAAAAAGACAATAGGACGAAAATAGCCACTGAAAAACCAATTGGGTATTTTTGGTTGACTTGTGGGAACATAGACCGCAAACCACTTAGCAATACAATATCGAGTTCTGACAGCCATTCATGTAGAATTAATTCAACGATGCAAGGTGTCGGGAAGTAATTCTAAATAGGTTTTTCCCTTTAAAATATATATTTGTATTACAAAAATTATTACTAGATGGAGTATATTTTTTCTATTGATACATAATTTTGTATGCTAATCATTTGCACAAAACATATTGAAGCATCTTTTTAAAAATTTAGGTTCCAAGACACTACGTCTTTTAAAACATGAAATTTTTCATGGAATAACTATTTTATCTTTTAATCATAATGCAGTGGAAAAATCATCTGGGAACCAGGTGGGCTCTCTTAGATGGGTACAGCATATGCTGTGACATTAAACATATTGCTTAGATTATTAGCAGTTGGTCCAAAAAAATGTAAATATTTAAAACTGGTTATTTCCTTATTCACTCTGTAAATGTTTTACCTGCTCTCTATTCCTCCTTCCCATATTATCTATGGTCCCAATTCTCACTGGCTCTTATTATTCTTGCACCCAATTCTTTCTCATTTAAATACTTCTTGATCTATTTTCTCTCTTCTCTCTAAGATTCTTCTGCTTGTTCATATTTTTTTCTTTCTCCTGGTATAAAAATCATGGATTTTGCAATATAATACAAGTCATCATACTAACCTGACAGACTGGGCATCCTTGCACAGAATGTGTAAGAAGTTCATATCACGAAGCTCAACACATTCAATCAATTGTAAAGGCACCTTCAAAAAAGAAAATAAGCTAAATATTAAACATTCTCAAATATTAAATATATCGGTATTCTTTTATTTTTAATGTTACATTTTTAACTATCAACTTCTTCATTCTCATGTGAACAGTAGAGCAGTCACATAACATATTCACATACTGTAAAAATCAATTGAAATAATATCATTATAATTTTGTTTTTTAATTAAATTATGATTAATCAAACGTGTACTAGATCATTACTCTCCTTTAACCTGTTGCACACAATTAGCATTAGGAGAAAGGAAAGGCAAAAAAATTTGTTCATTTATAGGTATTTTTTCTTGTTAAAATGTTAAAAATGTAGCTATATTATCTCATCTCAAATGTATATTTCAGACTAGCCCTTTTCGTGACACTATAATATATGTTTAACATTCAACCAGAACACTGATAAATGTAGCCAACATATAATAAGGGACCATGTCAGAAGTTTCCCTCGTAATTATACAGTAGCAATGGCTGAACAAGCCATCAATCAATTTATTTGTATTGTATAACTGATATTTTATATACAGTATGCTCTGTTGGCTATGACTGGTGTTGAGATCGACATTGATTTAGAATTCAAAAACTAGTTTTCAAATTTATAGAATACTAATCCACATTAAAACAATCTCTAGGAATGAGTTACTTTTCATATTATTTGATAGCTTCAAAAAATCAAAAACATTTTTTCTGATCGGTTTTATTTGATATTAAATATTACTTATTTGATCTCGGTTATTAAACATAAAAATAAATTTGTTGAGGTTTTAAATATTTATTTCATCTTTATTATTAATCTAATTCAAATTGCACTCTGATTTATCAAAAAATCAACATTAAAATAATAATTATTTGAAAAATTGACTTTAACATTTTTTTACTATTATAAAAAAATATATATATTTTATTGGGATTTATTTCTCATTTTGTACAGTTCATTATTCAAAATGATGTAAACAATATTATTTTAAAGACCTTAAAATTTTATGATTTCGTCTATTAATCAGTATCAGGTACTTACACTACCCTTAATATTCACCTTCACATAGGCTCAGACAAATAAACTTTTATATGACGTAATATAATATACAGCACTTAAATTATTGTAATTTAGAATTGTTTAAGCCAATAATTTGCTGAAATTAAACAACAGTTATAGAGGACACTCATTTGACCTGACTTACTATACATAATAATTATTTGAATTGGAATATAAACAATACATAATCTTAAGCACATAAGTATAAGTTTTTATATTTATAATGTTTTAATCAAATTCATACCGTAATTAATGTGGTTATTATTGTATTACATGCATATAGGTTAAATAATTTATTCTTTTTTTTATTTTAGTATGCAACTGAGGTGAAATTTCATTGCTGTGCACAAAAGAGGTATTGTCACTGATTTTGGCAACAATCCAACAAAATTCCCAGGCTAGCCTACAAAAATAAATAATGGGTATATTGAATGGTATTAAATACCTGCTTACTACCCATTTATAATCATGAATTTACCCCAACATTTTACAACCATTACATTTTCACAATCCAACAAAATCCCCAGGCTAGCCTACAAATAAAATAATGGGTATTGGATAGTTGAATACCATTCAAAACCCATTTACTACTTATTTCTATTCATGAATCTATTACGCTGTCTACCACAACATTTTACAACCATTTCACAATTAAATACGATGAATCATAGAATTTTAATATTGATGACACGTCAACACTCACATTGTCAAATGAATCCGCATAGCGTATCATTAAACGGAAGTTGGAAATACTGATGATGGCATCGCAGGCCTTCCCCAGATATTCCACATATTCTCCAGCAAGCAGTGGGTAAGACAGTTCCAAGGACTCATCTTCCTTCTGTAGTTTTTTCTTGTGAAATGCATCATTAGCTTTCACGTGCACCAAGCTATCATGCTCTTCTTGTTGCTCTGACTATGAATAGAGAATACAAAAAATAATTAATAATGTTCAGAGGTTGTTTCATTCTAAATGTTTTGCCATTTATTTCCTTATTTCCATTTAACGTACTATTATTTTTTCATGTTTGAACAAAAAGGGGGCTGGTCACACCCCTATTTACGCCAACTATAACAACTGTCTCTTATACACATCTTGGAGTGGAGTTAACAGCTTAGTGGTTAAGATGCTTGCCCTCCAATCCTAGGGTCCTGGGTTCATGTATTTAAAACTAAATTTGCTTATATTGGCTAAGTTGTGATATGCACCAGGCATCTTTGTCGGATCAGGGTATAAATATGTGCTGCAAAATGAAACCAGATACTTTAAGAAAGTTCATTTAACCACACCTCAAGGAAATGACTTCATCCAGTATGGGACCCTGTTGCCAGGTGTTGAATACTAGTGCAGGGGAGGGGGGGGGGAGGTCAGTTTGAACAATCTGAGCTAGTGTTGCAAGGTCTTTGTTTCTGTTGCAGTATTATAACTTTTGGTTAATGCACAGGTGATTTAGTTATCTGAGTCAAAAAGCCTGAATGCCAGGCATGCTACGGCTGGCATAACATACGCCCCTGTTTATGAAAGTCTGAGCACACCCATTGTCTACAACTGTTCACCATATCTTATTTTGTTTCATTTTTAGACCAAACAATAGTTTTGAGCCAAATGTGTCTAAAATGCCAAACCATGCAAGAATTTAAATAAGGAAGTCAAATCTAAAATTGGTAGGACAAGCTGAATAACTGACATGAATGCGAGAATCTGGAAAATTTAGCAATAAAATGCTAATAAATTGAAGTTTCCATTATATAACCATGAAGGAATTAGTTTCTAATGATATACCAATGTCGAGAATGAAAATCAGTTAAATTTTGTGACCACAGAGCCATCTTTATTACTATTGACTGTATCCACAAAGATCTGTGTACAAGTAGTGTACCTATGTAGGAGGGAGATGCGGGGAACATGCACCTTAAAAACAATACAGTAGAACCTCGCTTTTACGTACCCCAGTTATACGAACCCTCGGTTTTACGTACGTCTCGTATCGACAATGACGTCATCAAAAACCCGAAAATATTCAAAACAAACGGCCCTTTTCAGAGCAACCATAAGTAAAAAGACTATAACAATAAACTATAACAATAAAAAAACCATAATGCAACATATTTTCATTGATTGAATCCAATATCGGGTTGTTATAATCTAAAAGCACGTGAACTGAGTGAAGATGAACAACTACCGATGATGCTCAAAATAATTGCTTTCCTCCTTAGCTTCATGTGGCAAACCATGGAAAAACTCGTCTGGTCGAATTTTGTACACGAAGCTGAGTAGAAATAGTTTCGTACACGTACGCTAATTAGCTTGCCTAGTGCATAGCACATGGTTGCTGCTTCACGTACACGAACGCTAATTGGTTGGCTCGCCCAGTGCAGTGCACATGGTTTTAGTTTGTCTCAACTCAATAGGCCCAGACAACACCACAGCTCTGTTGTTTAGAATAGGCATGAAGGGGAACTCCCAAGTTATACCTTTGTCGTATAGGTAATCTTACAATATTTTCATGTTCTTTAGTTAATATGAAAGATATAAAGTGATGAATTAATACACTAGACACATGGTTTTATTTCAACACTTTATTATGACATCGTAAAGTTATCAATTATGTACACAAAGAAAGTTATAAAGCCATTATAACATAATATTTACTTAAAATCACAACAAATGTAATAAAACTCACCATTGTAGTCAACAGGAAGAGTACCAGCTCAGTCGTAATACGTGAAACAAGTCCTAGAAAAATAAACATACAGAAAATACTTATAGGTTGGAAGAAATGATGGGACTATTACTAGGCAAATGATTTATAATAAAATTATTCTTCCTACACTTTATATACTATGAGTTCTTGTAACTACAATGCTAAAGGTTCCTTATCTGCACGGCCGTTCTGAGGCAAAACAACGCAACTTAACAGAAATTAAGCAGTTACGTTGTTTTACCTCGGAACAGCTGTACAGTAACAAGATGATGCTTTAGACAAAGAAAATATTAAAAGGCAGTCAATGTGAGTTTGTGAAGTGATCACACTTGATCTGAAAATACAGATATTTTTTACAGGCAATGTCCTACAATATTGACCTTATCTGCGATAAGTCAGTTTGTTTCAGTAATAGTAATCCAATATGGATTTTTCATGATAAAACAATTTCCTATATTCAACTCCCACCTGCCTCCATGTTACATCAAGGACTCATGGTTATATAATTAAGAAATGACCCAGTCATCAGATCTCATCAACACGCTGAAATTAAAATGGCGGTGAGTGCTACACTGGAGTCCGGGGTAGCACAGCTATTTTGACTCCAATAGCAGAGACCTTAGTGAGATAAAGTTGATTTAAAAACTGTTAACTATATGCAACCATGACAACGTTACATGTACGTACGTGATCAAGGCAATTGTACAGTAACCATACAGATGCAGATATAGCAAATTCAGAGTAAAGAAAATAAATATTATTTTTAATTTACAGTATTACATCTACTGAACTTTACACTAGTCAAATTGATGGCTACAACTACACCATAAATGTTTTGCCATTTATTTCCTTATTTCCATTTAACGTACTATTATTTTTTCATGTTTGAACAAAAAGGGGGCTGGTCACACCCCTATTTACGCCAACTATAACAAACATCATCTAAGGACTACAGGATTGGCCGAATGGGCAAACCTTGGTAAAATACACTGTTTACAAAAAATACCACCAAGGCAACAATTACTGTCTTATTTATACCTCCATGCTGTAAGGTTATTCACAATATTTGACCAGAAACAAGTAAGGCTACGGTCACACTACAGCCTCAAGCCAGGCTTGACTCACCGCGATCAAGATTTTCATAGTGTGACCGAGTCTGGATCGTTCTCGACCCAGACAGCTCAACCCTGGCAAGCTACCGAGATTGACCCTGGATTGACACTGGCGTGACCGGGATTGACATTTCTACGTCGGAATATGACCAATCTGAGGAGAGCTAGCGACACATCACACAATGCGAAAAAAAAACCCGCGAGCTAGAAAAAAAACAAAAACAAACTAGGTGGCTACTACTAGAACTGCTGTATTTTTTTCATTGATATCATTTTAATATTAATTATAATATGCAAGTGTTGTGGACAGACAACGAAACCGCCGATTTAATAGATTTGTGGGCCCAGCCTGAGCTATGGGATAAAATCGAGGACAAGAAGTGCAACAATAAAAATGGCGTTTACGAGTTGGTAAGCGAAAGGTTAGCGAACTTGGGTACAAAAAAAGAACGGCGTCAAAGGTTCAGAACAAAATAAAGGCACCGAGAGCCCAATATAAAACAATAAAAGACAGCTTAAGAAAAAGTGGGTCTGGATCTGATCAAAACCCAAGCAACCAGGTCAACCCACGTAGTGTGACCGTCCAACACTTTCAAGCCTGGCGTGAAATCTCAATCGCGGTGAGTCAAGCCAGGCTCGAGGTTCTAGTGTAACCGTAGCATAACTGAAAGACAGGAAAAACTTGTATCTTGCAAGATAAGAATATTGTCAAATATTTAAAGGCCAACCCAATCCCATATTTGTTGACCTTTGTTATTAACATATGTGGTTTCTCTGAAACAAGTTTATCAGGAAAAGGAAGGTTCAATACAGTATAGCCATTTGAAAATCCATGAATCCTATGTTAATACATGAAGGTATCATTGTAAGCTACCATAGTTCCTCGGGTATAACCCCCCCCCCCCCCACTCTCCCTTTATGCCCAGGGAAATTCGTGGGTAAGAATTTCCCTGGCAAGTCCCAGGGTATACTTTGAGTGAGTAGGCCTAGCTAGACTAGAAGTACATTTCCTCGAGATTTTTAATAATCTCGGGAGGCATATTTAATTTTCAACATGTCAGGAGGGTCCCACCCAAGTCTCCCGCAGGTCATGGAAGTCTCCTAGAGATAGCCTCCCACAAGCAACAATCTCTCGGAAACCAACCCATCTTCTGAAAATTCATAACATTTGCATGTTTATACATTATTTGATTATCATTTGTCTCACAGAAATCAATGTCGATAGACATCACCATTGTGCAGCAAAATAACACTACGTTAAGAAAGCTCATTTAACCAGATCTACCAGAAGTGACTTCTTACTTGGGATCCATTGACATTTACATTATTCAAATACTATTAACACTATAATAAATGGTCAATTTTTAATAAAATCTAATAGAAAATAATTTTATGCATTTCTTTACTTAGCATCCATTTAATATTTTACTTTAAATTTCAAAAATTATTATTTTCAATTGGGCTTATTGGTTTGTGTTATTGAAAATGGCAATATTCATTATAAAGGTTAAATTTTTTTAATACTAATACCGTAAATATTTTCATAGTAAATTTTTGTATTCATAGATAGGTGGACGGGCAGGCAATTATCACTGTGGTTATAGCATATTGTATAGAAGATTTCATACATGTTCAGATTTATAAAATAAATTTGTGAAAATATTGTTACTTTAAAAGAGATACTATTACATATTCTTCAACAGCAAAATTAATATTTAATATGAAATATGAATACAGTATGTTGATTATTTTGTCATTGTTCTCGTTTTATTTTTATTTATTTTATTTATTTAGGTACTGTACACAACACATGCACCAAGGCAATACAAACTTCTTCTTCCTCTGTATGTTTTGCACTCTTGGAGGAAATAATATATTATTATTATTACTGTAGGTTAAAAACTATGTGATAAAATCTGGGAAAACCCTAAATATTATAATTAACATGCTGATTTGCAAGAATTTTTCCTGGTTCCATTCCATATACCAAGGCATAAAGGGTGCCACCATAATAAAAATCATTCCTTTCAACTGTATTATGAAACACAGACATACAGTATCTATTTTTAGATCATTAATTCTGGGTTCTCCCTAAGCTTCCACGGCCAAGATTTTGGACAGGTGTGGACATAAACTCATGTCCTTGGCGCCCCTGATTGAACCCGGTCGAACCTGAACTCATGTCCATGGCCGTGAGCATCTTAAACTCTTGAATTGCTCATCATTATGAACACTACAGAGTAAGTTATCAATTTCCAATGAGAAACAAAACAACTAATCTTTTACATGTTTACAGACTATATTTGAAAATAACTACCAGCCAAGATCCTGTTGTATGTAAATACGAATACAGCCTTGTCACATAGTATTAAGGAAAACATTTTTTCTAAATAGAAAGTTAATAAACAAAGCAAACTTAATGCAAGATTTTAGTGCTATGCTCCTTTGTATTCATGCTAATTCCACTTGCTAAATCGCTTCATTTACACTACTGTCAGTTATATTATATTTTAAAAATTATATTTACTTGTTTTATTTGCTCAAAATTCCACACAACGAAAGTTGCAAATTTTAGAACTGAAACAATAAACTATATAAATACTGTATATGAATATAAAAAAACTTTTTTTTTAATTATAATTTGTAAGAACAATGTTGGTGAAATTCAAATATCAGTTATAATAGTAAGCAGGTATTTCTTTTTTTTTGTGGGGGGGGGGGCAACCTTTCTGGGTCTGACACAGATTGGACAATTTTTAATTTAACAACCAAGTAAAATTCTTGTTTTTGAAAACAAAACCATATTTCTAAAAATAGTAACATGTCAAGCTCATTAGAAAATTACATAAACCGATCAAATAATAACTTAAAGGTTATTTCATGAATAATAAATTACAAGAGAATACATAAATATAGGCACAATACAACCATCATTGTACCTAGCCATAGGTTCTAATAACAGCTGATTCAACGAGTGTTCAGTGACTGATTGCAACAGAGGGAGGCCAACAGGTAAGTTGCACTCACGAATCTGACATTTAAATCCATGTAAATTGAAAGGCTGTTCATGCCACCAGCGGTTAGTATGACTGCACAGTTAAAGTTCACTCGTGTACATGCAGATTTATGGCGCTCCTGCATTATTTGAGCTGACAATTTTAAAGTGTGTGCAAATTAGGCACAAATGATCAGGGAGTAGGATTTGTGTTCATTGAACAGTATACACTTTCATTAATTTATTAAACCTAACAAATATGTTACACTAGATATCAAAACATACAGTATATTCTTGCGCAAGACAAGGCATAAAATAGCAAATTACAATAAAAATTAAAAACCTGGGGGGTGGGGGTCGTCTTATACGTGTAACACATGTAAAAAGTTTTGATTTTTAAATCATGTATGTCTTATGTGCGGATCTTCCGTAGTTAACACGCAAATTTACTATTGAAATGAAGCCACTGTCAGTTTGATCTAAATGAATGCAAGTTTTGAATGCGGGGAAATAATGTTTTGGTGAACATTTAAAAGCCTATAAAATGGTATCATTTGGAAGATTAGCCATAAAAATTTGGCTCCGTTTTTAGCCAGCTAGATGCAGTATCAAGACCATAAAAAGCAGAAAAGTAGGAAATCCAATGGTAAAATGGGGAAAGGGGAGGGGGATAGTTGTCTTATAAGCCTGACATGAGAATTTACGGTATTTATAATTGTTATTTTTTTTTAATACATATATCAACTTTTCAATACCATAGGTGTTTTCAATAATTCAAACAATTAAACATAGCAATAATTAAACTTGATACCAAATAACCAAAATTCTTTATTTCAAGTTACATTTTTTCTATGATGATGGAGTAAAGTTTGTTTTTTTTTTTTACACACATACATAAAAAATGCATCAGAAGTACATCGCCTATTATATACTGTTGAACTTGCAAATCCAAAATGGCATTGAAAAACTGTTCAACCTAGAGACAATTTGACTTACAGATTGTTAATTAATGGACAACACAACAATTTGGCATGTAATAAAATCGATTTAGAAATTATTTGAGTTAAATGAAGTTAGGCAAGTTTCACTGTGCATGTATTTAGCTGCCATGTTCATTGCTCTATTAAACCGTATTAATTGTTTCCTTGGACATTTGGGGGTATGGCCTCGATGCAAACAAAAACATGCAACATGTTCAAAATTGCATTAGTTATAGCATTGTTAAAAAAAAAACCCAAAATTTTGAAAATACAGAAAATTGACGTAAAGCAACAAATTGAGTCAAGCTGGGACAGCACAAAACACTTTTTGCACAGCTGTAGGTAGTTAGGCCTAGGCCTATAATATTAAGAATAGCTGGTAGGGCCTCCCTATCTCGATCCAGCCAGCTATCTTAACGTTCACTGCCTTGTCGTCAACCCGGAAGATGGCGCAGGCCACTATGCCAAATAGTGATGTCATCATTTTATGCGCGAACGAAGGTCATTGCTATCATGTGACCACACCTGCGTACAATTCATAGAGGGCGGACATCCACTATTTTATTTATCAATACTGATTTTTTTTTTTGTATTTACGATTCTGTATTTGATATTAAGATAATTTGGACGCACAATGAAGCTTTTTATGTGTGCCGCTGTTGTAAAATTGATTGATTGATTGATTGATTGATTGATTGATTGATTGATTGATTGACATACTCTTTATTAAGTATTAAATTGATCTACTTTATGTATGGTTTATTGAAATAAACGCTCGCTTTGGATAAACGTCCCATCAGTCATTCGAATAAACTTCATCTTCAGCTCTAAGCCTCATTTGGAATAAACGCCTTCCTCTCGAATAAACACCCGGGGGGTTATTTTAAGCAAAAACAAACAAAAAAAAAGCCTTCCTCGAATAAACACCCCCTCAAAAACCCTTCTTAACGAATGAAGTTTGATATTCAAAAGGTAAAGGATTTCCTCTCTCTGTGCGTACTTTTTTTAGTCAGCGGCTTGATCGGGATATCTTTGTGCGCACCACATCTCTATAGAGAATTACATTCATTATCAAAAAAATTGTTTCAGAAATAATCTTAGAACAAATGCTCAACTTCAGAAAAAAGTTTTTTTTTTGTTTTTGTTTTTTTTTTGTTTTTTTGTTTTTGTTTTTTTTTTGTTTTTTTTGTTAATTCGTCATAGCACTCCCCTTGATAACAGTAGACAAACATAAGCGAAATCATTTTAGAGAGCAAATCCTAACGGACACCGGACTTGCAATGAATCTACTCTTTTCATTTCTATTCATTTCCTTTACCACCATAGCGCCCTCTGTTCTTGTAATATAGCAGTCGACGGAAATGGAAAGTCCATAAACAATAGAAACGTGCAACATGGTGTCAACAGTGTTGTGTGAAGAGCGATATGGTTCCGACTCAGAACCTAATATTTATTCTTATGGAGATGGAAAATTAAGCAAGAACAATTTTTCGAAGACTAGTTCAGTCAAACAATGTTTTAGGGTAGGTTTTTCTATCGAAATTTATAATATTTCGAATAACTGCCACGTTGTAATATTTGTTGGTAACCTTTCTAGCCTAGCCAGACCAGCCCCAGGTACCATTAATACTGCGAGGTCGCCAGAGGTCCGCACTTCATAGTCACCTCTCAACGGCAAGGTGATACTGATGTCCCTGGGCTAAGGGCTTACTACTCTATCGTGTCTATGTGTCGTTTAACAGTAATCACTGGTAATTTTTTCATTCTACAGTGGTGTTTTTACACAATTAGCAAAACTTGAATTGAATTTTTTTTTCCAAAGAAAATAGTGCACAACATGCAATTTGCATAACAATTTTACACCATAATTAAATTGATAATCACATGATGAACTTATTAATATAGACAAACATGCATACGGAGATGTGTGATATTTCCTTATATATTATAACATTACCCATATTGTGCAGTGTAGCTTCTTTGACATCGTTTTCAAACTGTCTGCAATTTCACAAAATGTATCTATCAAGTTTGCAAAATACTATTGCATATTTTTGCAAATTGCAAGATTTTCTTTTTTAGTTTAAAAAATCACTAACTTCTCACAACTGAACAACTTGCAAACGCTTTACTTTAATTATGTACAGTAGTTAATTGTCCATGAGTGGAACATAGGCCTGTTGTCTATGGGCTCAAGCAGTACATTTTGAAATGCTGCCTTGTTTTAATAATTAGAATTCAATCTGCCCTTCCCCCACCCCCATCAGTAAGCATCACCTTCCCATATCACTTTTTGAAGTTTTGTAAATTGTTTTTAATGTCAAAGGCTAATGTGTATTTAAAGCTCTTCGTACAGGCCTGTACTTGACCATCTTTACATAATCTATGCCCCATGAAAAAATCACCCCCTAGGGACTGTCATCTTGAAGTTTGAAATATACCTGTAATTGCTTTGTAGAACGAATGCTGATGCTCAAAGCTTACACAACATTCAGCCTCATGATCTAACTGAACCATTCACCTATAGCCCATTTTAATTTCTACCCCTTTTTTATTTCTTTCAAACAATGACATCACTTGCCAGATAAATAATCTTAGCTATTCCACTCACGGTCAAATAGAAACTAATTACATTTAATAATTCGTATTGTGGATTTTTTTTTCTAGGCTGTATTTCTTCCTCAAGGTTATCCTGACAGTGTGAGTAGTGATTACCTAAAATATCAGATATGGGACACTATACAGGTGAGAGTGCAGTACAAATCACCATTCAATAAATTTTCAACATCTGTTTATGTTTAAATTTACAGCAAATAACTTCTTTAATATTTCAGGTACTACGTTAAGCCTGGTTTCTATAATTAACACTTGTTCAGTAGTTGGTCAAAATCGGCGGTTCCTTTCCAATTCCATTAAGGGACAGTGTTCGGTATTCAGAATTGAATGTAAAATTTTGTTTTACATTGAAATACATTTGAAGGGTCTGCTCATAAATTTATAATAATAGAAATAACAAGAAGATATCAAGATCAGGTAATAAACTATCCCCCGCTAGACACCATCCCAATATATCGTAAGTCAAGGTTTCAGGACTTGAGATTTGAGCTATGTAGTTTAACAATTGTGAAATTTTAAAACAAGAAAAACATCACTTAACAGGTGCAAACATTACTTGCAGATACTAGCAATAACAGAAATATAAACCTACAAATTATAGTCGTGTAGCCAATTGGAACTGAAGCTATAAAACATATGGCCCATTGTATAAAGTCACTTAAGTCTTGTCCAAACTATCAAATTTGATTTTACAAGAACACGTGACATGCCATATGGTCATGATGACATCACATTATGACCATATATAGGCCCATCCTGACTATATATGGGCATACAACAGTTGTTTTTAATTCTGGACAGTGCTTTAGAAATATGAACTTCTAAAGTTTTTTCATGATCTGTTAATAGGCATTTTGCAGCAGCATAACCGGTACCCTTGCAACCCAAGCCATGCTGAAAGGTGTCGGTGTCGGTGACGAGAGTGCCACAGCCGCAGCGGCCACCATCACTTGGATATTAAAAGGTACAAATCATAATATTTTTATCATCAAATATATATTATTTGAATGTAAGCAGGTAGTGACTCTAAACCTGTAAACCTCATTCTGAAGCTTAAGCCATGTTTAGACTATGAAATTTTATTTGACAAAAAATGGTTATATGCCCATATATAGTCATGATATGCCTAATGTATGGTATTGATGTGATGTCATCATGACCATATCTAGGTAGGCGGCTTTAGGGAGTGGAGTTATTGGAGTAAATCATGATTTTAACAGGATTTGAACCCAAGGCCCTGGAATTGGAAGGCAATCACTGTGTGTGAACCATGACGATCCATGGTTCAGTGATTTTTTTTTCCCTCACATTTATTCATAGTTTCTAAACTTTAATATTTTATTTGTTTTTAGATGGTTCTGGAATGATTGGAAGGATCTTATTTGCATGGTATCAAGGGTAGGTTATAAACAATATTTTATCATATTTTACAATATGTTTGAACAGTGATATTTTTCAATATAATTGGTATTACCTACCAATTACTTACAAGATACAAGATAAAATGTATTATCTCTAATAAAAATGAAGAAATTACAAAGCTTGCTAGAAAAATTCTACAATTCAGACAAACCACATTAAAATTGATCAAGCAAAAAGTATTTACATCAAATTTCCATAAAAATCCATTGACAAAAGCACAATAATATATTTAAAATTATTTAAGGCCTGCAATATTTGGAGATAATGTAAATGTTTATAAAAGAACTTAAAAAGGGATAAACGTTTTAAAGGGAGCACCACCCAACATGTATGTTATAGATTAATATTTCAAGGATTAATTATTATATAGTTGATTAATATGTTCCATTACATATGGATTTATTAAGTTTTCTACTTTTATTATTTCACTTTATAATAATTTTATTGATATGTACTTTTATTGTTAGCACTTCGCTGGATTGTGATGCTAAACGATGGAGGTGAGTTCAGATTTAAAATATTATTTGTTAATCGTTTAAAGCTCTGTGTACACTATCAAATTTTATGTGACAAAAAAGTGTGATGCCCATATATGGGCATCATGACATCACACAATGACATAGCATTACCATATATAGGCATAGCATTACCATATATAGGCATAACATTACCATATATAGGCATAGCATTACCATATATAGGCATAGCATTACCATATATAGGCATAGCATTACCATATATAGGCATAGCATTACCATATATAGGCATGTCACCATTTTTGTCCAAGAAAATTTGATAGTGTGGATAGAGCTTTACTCTATCTTTAAAGCCCTGTCAACACTATCAAATTTATTTGACAAAAACATGTGACACGCCTAAATATGGTCATGATGGCATCACATCATGACCATATATAGGCATATCATGACTAAATATGTGCATACAACAGTTTTTTGTCAAAAAAAATTTGATCTGGTATGTGAAAGAACTTTAAATACAGTAATGCAGTAATTGGATTACAAAGAAAATCATCATCGCAAAATAATAACTATATAAATATGAATCTGTAGAATAAGATTATCCCGTATCAATGTAAACAAATATTTTATAATTATATTTTGAAAGGCTTTCTACAGAAATTGTATATTTAATGTAATTTTAGGAGCTGAATAGTATTAGTAAATAGTTGATTATATAAAGGTTTTCTTGTTTTGTACAATTTTCCATCCATGTCTGCTTTTACTACTACTGTACTACTTATTGCTCCAGTATATTAAGGGTGTTTTTTAGGGTGGTGAGTTGTCCCCCAGGCAATAAAATTGTCTTACCTATCAATCATAATTACAACTTCCATTCCTTAATAATGTTATAAATGTGTGATCTTTAATGTCAACTGAAAGGAGACCTTTACCTAACTGATTCTCCGATTCTGAAGAATCTTACATACACTTTATATGTCCTTGTTCATGCTAAGGCATTAAGAATGTCATTATAATTTTTTTTTACATCAACTCGGAGGACAACTTTTTTATTCATGAGAATCATCTTTCTGAATGCTTTCACATAAGGGAATGTAATTTCAACACCAAACTTGCCAATGGACTAAACTTCAATATACCTAAAGCTAACGCTGATTATAAGAGAATTAGCATCTCATTTCTTGGTAAATCTGTTGAATAACCTTTTATCTAAAGTAAAATGTACATTCAATTTACATGTTTTCTGTAAATAAGTTTACAGTACTTCACTGACATCCGAGTTTATTGTGATCTCAGAAACCTACACTCAGAAATACCATGCTGGTGGGCAACAGGGGGTAGTGTCTGCTAAGATGTTCTATTTTTGTCATCTCTTGATTTGTTTTTCTTATTTCATGCTACTGTGCTTGGGAATAATGTTACTTAAATGTACTCCCAATTTTCATTTTTTCTAAATAAGTTTAACATGTTGACTGCCAGACCTTTTTTTAACAAGTTTACATGCACAAACAAACTTTTTTGAAATTTTACATAGTCATATATCATCAAAATGATGTGTGTAATAATAAATTGCCGGGAAATTATTAGGGGACAAGTGAACTTGTCGACGCACTTTGGTAGCACTTTTTATCGACTATGGCAAGTGCGAGTTGATTTATCTTGTCCGCTTTTTGCATGGGTTGGTGTATGCGCAAAGGGCGCCCCACTTGTGCCACTTGAGTTTACTACCGCCAACATAACACAACAAACATGCATATGTCATTTGTACGTTATCGTCTAGGTGTATCTTCCCTGAACTAGCAGCCGTAGTCGCTACGCTAGAATGTTACCCCGATTTTGACTAGTATACTCGTCCCTGGTGCCCTCAGCAACACCCTGTAGGCGAGTATTACTTGTCACTGGCAGCCAAAATGTTAAAGTACTTTCCTAACCTCCAATTTTATTGCTGAAACTAAAAAAAATACTGTACCAAGTTGCTGTAAAGTACTATGACGTTCTGTTTTTGTCATCTGTATGTTTGTTTCTTATGTCATGCCTTTAGCTTGGGAATAACAATACAGTACTGTACTTAATTACCAATTTACGTTTTTGCTAAATAAGTTCAAAGCACTTTCCTAACCTCTGATTTTATTGCTCAAACCTAAACAAAAATACTGTACCAGGTATGATGTTCTGTTTTTATCATCATGATTTTTTTTGTGTGTGTTTTCAATCATTTTTGTTTGTTTTTAAATGTGTGCATTACATATGAATGCATTTTCATCAAGGCCTCACTTGGCCTTGATTAAAAACCACCTATGGGCACGTCAAGTGTCCCCGTGTAAAAATGAAGTACAGTGTATTAACATCATTATAACCTCATCTATCCAAAGACATTAAAATTGCAATGAATTTGAGTTTAAATGTCAAATCAATAGACACATCATACTTAACCTATTCATAAGAATTGCATAATCTCGTCCTTCCTAAGTCATTTAAGCTAGGTTAGGCATGACTTTTTTTATTCCTTGTATCATATATTTATTTTTTAAAAGATTATCAGAGGAGGCGGAATAAAAATAAAATTTTGTTTTCTTATTTAGCAAATAGTTTTGCCTAAATCATCCAGACGTAGGAGAAAATAAAGATAAAATTTTATTTGTGAATGTAAAATAGGATGTTTAAATTTATATAATTAGGAAGAAATATTCATATCTTATCATTTTTTTCTCAGATTTCAAGGCAGCAGAAGGAATAATAAAAATAAAGTTAAAAGTTTTATTTTTTTTTTTTTTCTGAAATTTCCACTTTTTGTGGAGGCGGATGCGCTAATAAGTAAAAAATGATATTTTATTTTTATTTGGAATCATCAATATTTGCAGTCGGCGGGTTAGCTAAACAAGGTATAAAAAAGTCTTGCCTTACAAAGAAGACAATATTTTATAACTTGTAGACCAAAATTTTTCAGAACATTTAAGGGGTGTTTGACGATATAGTTGAGAATGGCTAATCAAGTTTTGGAAAATAAAAAACTTGAAACTAGAAATATTAATACCCCCAGTTTTTCAAATTTCCAAAGGTCATATTTTATCAGCTGTTCCCGATTACTTCTTTAAACACACATTCAATGTCAATTATTTGTATACATTTTTTTTTTTCGTCCATGGCCTGCCGGCTTTATGAATCACAAGGTGACTTTTAATGTCAACTGTGCACCTGATGAAGCCAGTATAGACTGCTGGCTATAGCTTGTGTAATATATAATTTAATGTTAGTACAGTGCACCCTCCAAGTTGAGACCACTCTAATTCTGAGGCTCCTCTAATTCGAGACTACTTTTTTTAAAGAACAAAATATCAATCTTTTTAACACAAAGCTAACCCTCTAATTGGAGACCAAGGCCCAAGTTTTCAGGTCCCCAAATTTTCAGGTCCCAAAGATTGTCTCAAATAGGAGGGTGACCTGTATTGTCAATAATATACTACCAATTTTTTTTGTGAATGATTTGATATGACATAAAAAAACTCACCTGAAATTTATTTTCCCATCTGTTGTTGTTCCCTTTCTGATACATACTTTATATCAAATATCAAATACAATTAATATCATGAATTTGTATTTAATAATTAATAAAAATAGTAATCCAGTAATTAATTAAAATAATCATAATATTGACAATTTTAATCAATGATAAATTATTGTAAATATAATAATAATTTTTTAATTTTATAGTAATTTACATATTTTTCTAATTGAATTTACTTATAAATCTATATACGACATATTGTATTAACTGAATCCCCAATTCAGCCACTGGCTGCTATGGATTTGATATCATTGTCTTGTATATTTTGTTTTTGTGAATAAAAGATACTGAAATATATTTCATTTCATCTTTCAGATTATTTGCAGACATTCTAAATGACTTTGCAATATGCATTGAGTTGATTTCGCCTCTCTTTCCATCATTCTTTGTATTCATTGCTTGCATATCAAGTGTCTTCAGGGTAAGTTTAAGTTTTAATACATTCACTCTCTTTTATTTAAATTTATTTGAAGAAATATAAGTAGAACTTATATTTGAAGAAATATTTGAGATATTAAAGAATTTATATTTGAAGAACTTGGTATATTTATTTTTTAAAACTATGGAATTATTTTATTTTCTTGATGACATAATTGTTAACAGATGAAGATCATTGAACACATGCTGAGATAAAATGAAAACAGAAATTTTTGGGCCGTGAAAGGAAGGTTAATTTCTGTTTGTTGTTTAGGTAAATGTCCATATAAACAAATAATCTCTGATGGTTTGCCCTGGCGGCTTAGTATCTCTCACAGGGGTAGAATAAAAACGAGTTTCCTTGATGCCATTTTCAGGTACACTGCTGAAAATTAAAGAATTCCATAAAGGATAGGAAATTCTGGAATATTGTTTTTGAAATTTCTCTGTTATTGTGGATTGATTGAGTAAGGGATTTATAAACTGCTTACTTGTCACATGACTGGGTGTGGATGTAGGGTCACTGCGCACTTGAACACATAACCAGCTCCTTCCACGATTCTCAGTCACGTACCACCTTCTGTGTCTCTGCGAAAGATTTCCCAGTCAATAAACAAATAAACTGACATAGGTATATACAGTAGTTTGGCAGATAGACAGCAAGCTGAAAGATTGATAATTATTAATTATGGGTTCTTTTCGCAGTCAATTGTAGGAGTTGCAGGAGGAGCTACTAGAGCGGCGCTGACCATGCATCAAGCAAAGAGGAATAATATGGCTGATGTCTCTGCTAAAGATGGAAGTCAAGAGACTCTAGTCAATCTAGCTGCGTTACTAATTGGTTTAATCATTACTCCAGTGGCGTCTGGCAATCATATGTAAGTCATGTTGTTATTTAGCTTGACATTACAGCTTAAAGCATTCTACAGGTGGCTCTTCTTCACTGTTTCTTCTCTTTAAAAATTAATTAATTTATAACATATATAATAAAGTATATTAATTTCTTTAAAAAATAATTAATTTAAAGCATTAATGTCTTGAAATTTTGTACATTTTTCAGACTTACATGGACCTTGTTCTTCGTGTTCACGTTTTTGCACCTGTATGCAAATTATCGAGCAGTTACCTGTGTAGTCATGGAGACAGTGAATCAAACAAGGCTCCACATTTTGGTGCAAGAATTTCTTCAGAGTCCAGATCTTCACATTTTAAGTCCGGCTAAGGCAAATGCAATGGAACCAGTGATTTGGAGTAAGTATTTAGATAGCTTCTTGGGATTAAATTATTCTGTTTAAATTTGAATAATGTCTAGCATCAGCCACAAAAATTATAACCATTAATTTTGTTTAATAACTTAAGGTTATAAATAACTTGTAAAACTGACTATTCAGTGTTTGTTTTCTATGCATTGTCTTCATTCATATGTTTTGTTTTCAAATTTTTATTAGCTGTCTTAATTTTCATCTAATATGAGGATTTCTCCACACAAAAACTTAATTGATATTTGTTCTGTTTTATTCTTTCATACTTAAGCATATTTTATTTGCTTTTTACACAGAGCAGGCGAAGCCACTCCGGGTCAATCTTGGTTCATCTTTAGGTACATTTATCAACAGGTGAGTTATAGTAATCCACCATCTACCTCCTGTCCCATACTTGCATGTCTCCTGTCTCCTAAGCATGGCACACATAAGAAGAGCTCATGATAGCAAAGAGCATTTCCGATAAGCTTGGAGATGTGTAGTCGATGTCATATCACATTCATATATGGGCATAATGGTGTACATGTTCCAGTGAAGGTTATCTGCCTATGGCAATGCATACTAAAAATGCATAAACATGTTATCAGTTTGTTTAAACACTTATTCCAATGTTAGTTTATGTTTTATTACATGCATGAAACATTCAATGTTCATGTATGCATGCTTAATCTCCCTTTTTCTGTACTAGGCCTAAACTTATATTTTACTATAAAAATCACGAAATTGTTTGAATGTGTTCAATTTACCATGAAAATCACACAAGATATTGTTTTAATGTATTTATATTTTGAATTATTCATCAACAGTTTTGAAGATCTGGAGTCTTGTTTAAAAAGCAATGGCAATGAAATATTCCTATTGGGTTTAAATTGCAAGAAAGGTATGTCATTGTGTTGCATAAATTTATATTCAAACAGTGAGTGAAGAAAGGTATAGGAGAATAACCCATAACTCGCAGCGTCATTGTGCTGAATTGCGTATGGGTGTGGTCCGTGACTACCTAGCAGCCGTAAAGAGGCGCTTATAGTAGCTTCATGTTTTCATCGTTCCGCAATGACAGGGGCTGAAATGAATCATACCATCGAGGTAACCACCTACTCTTCCGATGTTGCAAAGTGTACACAAGCCAGTGTACATTGGACCTCCATTTTAAGTCCTTATCCGAGAAAACTAGGTTCCACCAACCAAAACCTGGACGAGAAGCATCAGTATTTAGCAGTGGCCCTACCTTACCACTCGACCACACGATTTAACTCCTGTATGTCAATTGTACGATGGATGTGATGTTCTATAAACTCAGGCACACAATGCGTCGGCCGATGGTTCAGTCAACGCTGCCGTAGCAGACACAGTCTCCACCTCAATTTATGATATATTTTCTAACTTGATGATTTTGCAAATTTAGGTTGGTAGAGAGTTCCATCTTTAATTGCCATCCGATGAACTTTATGTGAAGATATGTATTTTTTTTTAGGTGTATTGAATATTGTTCTACATGAAAACATCCCAGTTAGAGAAATCATCAAGGCTTGTTTTCAGGCTGAAGTTATACAATGTGCCTACCAACAAGTCCAGTACCTGCAAGGGGTAAGCAATGTACAAGGGGCAATGGAGTGTAGGGGAGAGAGGTGGAACTTATAAATGCTTATTATTATATTAAGGAAAGGGTGCCAGGTTTAAGTGCAATGCAAGGCAATGGATTTATGCAGTAAGTTTAATAGAAGGGTGTGGTGGTAGTGATGCTATCAATATGCTCATTCAAATTAAAAATATAAAGGCAGTCATAAAAATGGTGATTGATAATCCTTACTTTAATATTAACATGTACTGCTATTTTTAGACATGGATAATGATGCCATAATCGTACGATTTAAATGGTGATTTATAGTTTATACTTGAGAACTAACATGAACAAACTATTTTTAGACATTCTACAAATTGATTTAATTGGCCCTGTTGACTGACTGCTCCAAGGTCAGTGACCTTGTTGTTAAAAGTCAATTCGTTTAACATTTGCTAATTAGCAAACGATGTGATTCCAGGTGAATCAAATAGCCTATATCAATAAAGATGCAAGCCATTCTCTCACAGATTCCCCATTATTTTAAATGGTTTTAATGGTACCCTAATAATACAATTTAATTGACTTGTTGAATGACTTGGCCAAGGTCTTTTTGTTCAGAGACAGTTTTTTTAGAATTGTGAATTAATAAATTGTCCCCATTGGGATTTGAACCCAAGACCTTCCAATTACCGCTCAGATATCCTACCAACTGAGCTATAAGGTATACTGCATGTATAATTTAATAAACAATGAGTAAAAAAAATAACAGTAGTATTTGGCATAGTGAAGTCATGCATGGTAAATATATTATTTATTTATTTATTTCAACAGTATTTTGTGAGGGTGGTGCATCCTACCAGTGGTGGGGGCAGGGGGCTCAAGCCCCCCATCGGTCTGGTCAAGCCCCCCCCCCATCGGCCAAAGCTCCTTGGGCAGTCGGACAAAAAAAAAAAAAAGGCCTAGTTTTTCCAGCCCAGCCATGTCCGGCCATCTAGAAGTCCCAATTTTTTTTTTTTTTAATCTCGTTTTGGGAGGAGGGAACACCCCTAATATAATATAATATATTATTATGTAATATTATATATATAATGTATATATTATGTATGTATGTGTATGTATGTATATATATATGTATATACTGTATATATACTCTTTACTATTACCACCATCATTATTTTTATTATTTTCACAACCATAATTATCATTATTATTATTATTGTTATGGTTATTATAATTATTGATGATAATGTTGATATTACTGTTGTTATTTCAAATAAGTATTCTTAAATATGGTCTGTATTTTCTTGTGTTTTTTGCTGATATTATTATTATGTTTATTTATTCCCGTAGTTAAATTTTAAAATTTCTGATTGCTTGCATTTTGGCAGGGTACTCCGACAGTATTACTTAAGGACCAATCACAAGGCCAACTAATTGAATACATAAGAAAGGGTAATTATTATTATCATCATCCTCATATCATCATAACCCTCATCATCGTACCCTTCAATATCATCATCACCATCATCATCATCATCAACATCAATATCATCATCATCATCATCAACATCAATATCATCATCATCATCACCATCATCATCATCTCAACATTATTACTATCATCACCACCACTGCCACCACCACCACTGTCATCATCATTTTAATCATCATCATTGTAGTCATTATCTTAACATCTTCACCATCATTATTATCATTACCGCCATCATCGTCGCCATCATTTTCTTCATTATTTATACAATTATCACCATCATCAACATCATATAATTTAACACTATTTAATTACTCTCTTCTAGACAAAATATTGAATAAAAATTTTACAGATTTTCTTTTTGCCTTTTTCTTATCAATTTTTGGTGTAAGTCTTAACCTATTTTGTTTTCGATGCAGTACTATTATATTTATGTATATATTGTTTTTCTTTTACTCATTAATTTTGTCTTAAGCTCAATTTCTTTTTTCATTTTGGTTTTCTTTTATTCTTTTTACTTGTGATCCACAAAAGACAGAAATAGTTAAATAAATCATCAACATCATCATCATCCATATCATAATCATCACTACCACTTTTGTCATCATCAAATCTAAACATTGTCATCAATCATCATTATTGTTATCAACATTGTCATCCTCATTTTTGCCTTTGCCATCATCATCATGAATAATCATCATGTCGTCACCATCAGCCTCATCCTTATCAACGTCATTGTCATCATCCTAATAAATATTTTTATTTTAGCTTAATTCACATCAGTATAGACTTGTTCTTACTGTATCTACTATTATGATTTTATTTTGCAGGGAAAAATATGACGATATCGGATTCCTGGGAAGTAGTACGATTGTCTGCTAAAGTTGCGGACCATCTATTCCCTCGATTCCTTAAGGATTTTGAGATGGCAGGATGGAAAGTGGAACCGACACAGTTATGCCCAGATGAATGGCGAGCACACTGGAGTTTACAAGGAATTGCAGATAAAAAGTCATTTTAATTGCTGTCTCACATTTAGCCTTGCATTCTGATATTGTCATAAAGGCTGAGCCTGTATTAATAGACTATGTAACACTGCAGAACAAACAAATAATGTTTCCAGTTACACACATATATATAATAATGTTCCTCTGTGAAATGTATTGTCAGTATACAGCCTCTGTATATGCACTCCTTGAAATAACTTATAACAGTATTATAACAGTAGATGTAGTATAACACTTTGACATCAGCAGGTCGGGCACTGAGATATAGATCCAGGGTCTTTGGTTTGATCCAATGGTGACGCCAGCAGAATGGGTGAGAGGGGGGAATTTTGTTTTACAATCCACAATGATATTTTCTTCAAATCTTTATACTATCTGTATAACAAGACATTATGTTTATTCTATTTTTAAACTATATTTTTAGAGCGTGACCCTTTGAACTTATACTAGGTGGTCAGCTTGGGGACCCTATAAAGTAATAAAATGCTCTATAAAGTATTCTCATTATGAGGCTGAGGGAATTCAGATTTTATTTATCATATTTAATATTATATTATGTCAGTCTTATCGGTTGGTTACATGTCATTGGAATAACCAACCATTTCTCCTCACTATTAATTATCAATACTTAAAGATATAACTTTGTAGTAAAATCATTTAAAAATTTTAATTGCTCATTTAAAAGAATCAATTAAGTTAAGTTTTATTGAAAAACAGATGGAAAACCATCTTAAATTGAGTAAAGTCAGTTTAGAGTCTATGCAAAGAATGTTATGTCTGTTTCTTTTTATTTCATTGAAAGCATTGACAGTGGCACATGGTGGGCTTGGTGGGCCTACCCTTTTTTTCATTCTCATGCTCTTTAATTTTAGGTTTTTGAGTATTTTAGGCTTTACTAGATAGGTGCATCTGTGAGTTATGATTGGCCAGCGAAACCAGGGGGTGGGGGCTTCCCCACTTTTTGGCAGAAAATTTATAATGGCTATGCAGATTTTTATATGATCCCACTTTATGCTAGTGGGCCACACCCACTTTGAAGAACGTTCCTTCGGTATAATGCGCTATATCCCACAAAGTCCCACAACATTACATTATCCACCAATTTTAGTGAGTGGGCCAAACCTCCTGTATGCCCCCACCAGTAATGTGCCAACAAAAGTTTTAATATTTATTTTGACAAAACAACAGACTGATTGATCAAACTTGGCTGTTGTTTTTTTTTTTTTTTTAAAGGTATTATATGAGATTATATTATTTTTTAAAAATCACCAAATTTGTCTCAGAGAATGTAAGAAAACGTTAATTTTTTTAGTGGTTCCAGCCCCTGGACGCCCTGTAAGTCCTCAGTGATCTCCTGGCCCCAGCCTCAGATTTTTTGCACCCTCTCAGAATGCTTACTGGACACACCCACTGTCCAAATTGTGCCATCGCCTATGATTAAAATCTGATAATATATTAAAAATATATTAATTAATTCAAATATTTAATTATATTTTTTCAAGCTTAATAACTCAGTTTTATGCTTAATGAGGTAATTTTATGTGTCATTCTTGACCAATCAATGTGTCAAATTGATGAATGAGTATTTTGAAAGGACAAATTAAATCCAGATTTTAGTGGAAATGCATAACTAAATTAAATATAAGCATATTTTATCCTGTGCTATTTAATCGATTTATGTATTTTAATGTTCATTAATAAATTCATTAATAGATACAAATATGCCATATTCTGTTGCCATTTCTTAATTTCAATCATTTCAACATTTGGAATTTATAAGTGATTTGAATTATACAAACGTCATTACACTTTGTACATGATTTTGACAGTGGTGATATTAATGAAGAGATATATTTATGACTACTATAAATTTTCACCCCTATTATCACAGCATTACATAATTACTTTGTGAATTGAGTTATTCGTGACCTTTAGTATACTAATTTGCTATCGTAAAGTAACATTTTTTTTTTACTTTGATATTGATGACATCTACATAACTAATGATAATTATATGTATTTCCACCACCATCATGGTCTAACTCATACATAATCACGTAATATTATGAATAAACCTTGCTATTTAAAATTGAGTTATTCATGACCTGCAGTAAAGTAATTTGCTATCATAAAGCAACATTTTTTTACTTCGATATTGATGACGTGACGTCTACAAAACTTATGATAATTATATATATTTCCACCACCATCACGGCGTTATATCACTCATACATATTCATGAAGAATAATGAATAAACGCTTACTATGTGAAATTGAGTTATTCGTGACCCGCAGTAAAGTAATTTGCTATCGTAACAAGAATCTGTCGGCTTAGCATCCGTAAAGCAACATTTTTTCCGTTGACTTGGAGTAATTCAATAGTTGATTAGTGAGGACATTGTTTGTTGGCTGTCAAACTTCCAGGTGTTGGCCTCTACTGCAGGTGTGTTGTCTTTCAAAATCTGCTCAATCGAATGTTCAATCTCGAAACAGGAAATAGTGCTCTATTTAAAGTTTGAGTAAGGTGGATATCGTTTATAATAGTAATAGTTTTATACAAAAATATTCTGTTTTGAAGAAGAAAAAAGACGTGAGGATGGAGAATAGTTTCAATATTAAAATTGGAACAGATATAAACTCGAGCGCAGTCATTCCATAGAAATAGAGTGCATACCTCCGCCCTGTGCCTGAATCTGAAATAAATGCATGCAGGGTGTTTATGGGCGATTCCATTGTTAAATAATGGATAAATTTTATGCTCGACGGATAAAGCGTGGTTTCCATAAAATCGCTACACGCTATCGCGGACAGCTTTCGGTGATGCTGTTTATTCGGTCGAATCGGAGAACCTTCCCGATTTCGCAGGGGACTGCTACCAGTGGCGTATCTAGGAGGGTTGGGGGGGGGGCAAAAAATTACTCGCCTCAGTGCCCCCCCCCCAAAAAAAATCACGGTCAAATAGTTAAAAATCACCTAAAACCCATCATTCTCCCCCCCCCCCAATTCAAGACTTCCAGATACGCCACTGATTGACTACGCGCAATACAATGATTGCACTGAAAACACTGTCAGTGGCAGATCTAGGATTTACTAATTGGGGGGCGGGGCGGGAGTGGCCTTCGAGGTGTGAAGCGAGTGGGAGTGGGAGTGGGTTTGAGAGGGGATCCTTCTCCCCAAAATAAGGAAATATTTTTAATTTTAAGAGTTTAGACGGTCTTATAAAACATTCTGGTTTTCATGTATTTATCATGCATTCAAATTAGGCCTAAGCCCACAACCGACGAATAAAACGGACATTCATACAATTCTCCAACCTATGGCATCAACTCTACTCCGAAATGTATCGTTTACTGAAACACGGTTATGGCCATTCGTAGTGGCAAAAGACGTGCCCCGATTTACTAAGAAAAGGGGCGTATTAAATACAATACACAATCAATTTCTAAAGCATATCTTGACTTTATATTATAATTAAGTTGAATTTCTGCATTTGGACAGGCCTATAGGCAGGGGCGGATCCAGTAGGGGCACCGGGGGCACGTTCCCCCGTTTTGCCACTAAATTAAAAAAAATTCAAAGCAAAACAATGTTATGTGTTACTCACTTACCTATTATGAGACTGTTGTGGCGCCCACCCCACGTTTGAAAAATTCTGGATCCGCCCTTGATAGGCCTAATATAAATGCATCAAACAGAGAGGAAATTCCCACCTTTACACGATATCAGAAATTTTTTTTTAATTATAAAATGTACTTATTGTGAAAACTAAAAATTAAATGCACATTGAAACGGAGTTTACCAAATCCAGGGATTCAACGTAGGGGCCCATGGAGGAACCTTCACAAATAGTGTCTAAATCACCTCAACCCCACTATGGTTGGGGCTGAGTAAGAAAATGTATTATTGAGTGTTCCGTACTAACTGACATTAAATCACCTAAACTACTGTATAAACCAAGCTTGTTTTTAATTTGTTTTGTTGCTTTAGAAATTCATGTACAGTGTATGTACTGTACTATTTCGAACAGAAGCCTATGCTATCTTGAAAAGAAGCCATGAGCTTCTTTTCGAGGCTAACTTTGCAAACTAAAACTTCAATTCGATCGTTTTAACCTAATCTATTATCAATTTTCAAAATAGTAAAGAACAGAGATCAAATAAAATTAATGGTATTCATGTTGCAAGGGTTGCTGAATTAACGTTATTGATTCAAAAAGAAGCCATGTCAAGAATAACAAATAAAGACTATATACTAACAACATGACAAGCTGTACTTAAGAGAATATCTGCTTCCAAGTACAATCAAATCCAAAACGTTGGAATTCATGGATTCCTCTTTTCTTCTTTGTTTTTTGCAAGCAAAACTAGAAAACACATTCAAGACGCGTACTGCAACCAATGAGTTTGGATGCAAGTTCGGATTGAATGAGTCTACACGAAGATTATATATCAGATGTGCGATGCATATTGCTTAAGGGATCATCGGTGCGAGTAGTTTGAATACGACGAGGATTCGAAATGCCACTACAATTGGAAAGGGACCAAGGTGAAGAGCCTTGGTAAATGTTGTTCAAATAAATAAATAAAATGTAATGTACATGTTCGATCGTCATTAATGAGTTTATAACCATGGTGTTCTAATAAAGAGTGACAATAGAAGTCTTTTTTCAGTGCCTGTTGTGTAGAAACAAACTATTAATCATGGAGTTTCAATATTATATCATGAAACTTGATTATTATAAGTATACGACTTTATGAAAATATTATTGATTGTGATTAAATTCAGTATTCATTTCATAATATAGATGACAAATTCGTGTACACTATAATTATTTATTCCTTTCATAAATACTTTTTATTTTGTAAATTAATCGAATTTATTATTTGACAAAAAGATTAAATTCGTTCAGATTAGTACATTGTGGTACAGATTCATGATGGGACATCAGAACTATAATTACTAAATACATTGACGAGATACTTATAAGGAAGGACAGTCTGCAACTAACACTCTTCGTCTTTAGAGCCGGCCCGGTTGTATTTCTTTCCTACAGCACTATGTTGACTGTTAGATTGTTTACACTACGTAATGTTATAGCATTGCTGTTTGTGCAAGACGTATTTGCCGGAAAGACTTCTAACTATTTTAAATTAAATCAATTCAGTATACAGTATTTGTTAAGGACGTTAGGACAAAGTTCTGTAGAAAAAAATGTGGAAAAAAAATATTGCAATCAATAGTATTTACTTGTCAATATCACTAATTGATTTGCTGAGAGAAAAGAACGTAGAGTATTAACAAATATTATACAAACAATTTACTTTAAAAAATTGTGTAACATAGTGGTAGTAATACGAAAAAGTGTTCCTAGAAAAGAAAAACAAATATTTGTGGAAAGAAATTAGGCTATTTAAAATGAAAAAAAAGTAAAAGATACTGAAGCTAGAACTTAAGCATATAACCTCCTTCCTTATTTGTCTATCTAAGAACCTTGATATTTTTGTGCTTTTTGGGTGAGCTCTTGTCGAGGGGGAAACCTGCTAGTCAAAGTACTATATATTTGCGCGGAATACCTGAAAGAGCAATTGACGGAAATTATGATACTGACTGGAATGGTGGCTCGTGTATACACACTAGTATGTGATACTAGCTTCCTTTGCACCTTATAATCATAAGATTTTAGATTCATTGTTTAATAAGATTTATTTTCGTTAAAAAACACAAGCAATCTACAACAAAGAAATTGTTGAAATTATAACAGTATATGCGATAGTGACTTACTTTATACTTAATCATAATCGTTTAGACGTATTGTACCTAAAAAATTAAATAAAGAGAAAGTTTTAATGTTTTGGTCAACATAAAGATTATTATGTACACATAAAGATGATATGCTTTCTCTCTGTGTATATATCAATCCACGTGTGAATTGATATGTACACAGAGAGAAAGCATTTAGATATATTATTTAATATAACTATTTTCGTTAAAAACACAACCAATCTACAACAAAGGAATTGTTTACATTATCATAACATTCATCTCAACGGCGGCGGAACGTTTTTGAAAGTGGTGGTGTGTGGGGGGAACTTCATAAGGTCCAGTATGCGAGCGAAGCGAACATCTAGGCTCGGTGGGCTACGGAAGCTACGGATATTTGACGAAGTTTGGTGAATTTTATTAGTTATTTTATAGGCATCAAGCTACTGTAATATGACTTCATAATTGTTGTAATTTCCAGTATCGGATCCAGGAATTCTATTCTATTGGAGGATCTATACTACCTCAGCCCCACGAAGAAAATTGGCGATTATGGCACCTCTAGATGGCCCGCGGAAATTGCACTTCCAGACAAAATTTGAATTTAATTTTCTTCATATCTCTATTTTTTCTTTAAAATTGAACAATTTAGGGGCAGGGACCCCTGGCTGGCTGGGACCCCCTGAATCTGCCACTGCGTACTTTCGCAGATGGGGGATCTATACCACCTCAGCCCACCATGGTTGGGGCTGAGGTAAGAAAATTTGTGATTATGGCACCTCTAGATGGCCGAAAATTGCACTCTCAGACTTACAATTTGAATATAATTTTCATAATATCTAGGCCTATCTCCATTTAAAAAAAGATTGAACAATTTAGCCCCTCCCCCTTGAATCCGCCACTGACTTCCGAAAACAATCAAAGTCGAGATTGCTTCCACGATCTCAATGAATTATTTATCATGAGGGGTATCCTTGATAAGGGTATTCCCCGACGAAACTTTTCCCCCCGATGGATAAAAATGACCCTTCTATAGTAGCCCGAAAATGATACTCCAATTGTGGCGAGTCCAGGATGTCGAAATATAGGGGACCCATGGAGGGTCTTGCTTAAATGGAATGAACACCCACCTCAGCCCCACAACGGTTGGGGGCTGAGGTAAGAAAAAAAATATGATTATGGCACCTGTAGATGGCTGGAAATGGCACTCTTAGATTAAAAGTTAAATATAATTTTGTCTTTTTTGGTTGGGGCCCGTGCTAACTGGGCTCCCCCTTGAATCCGCCACTGTTAAATATAACATTTGACATAGCCTATCATTTTGTTTCACAAATGACTAATTCATAATGTCAAGCGAAAGATATTCCATCCATTTTTCCCACCTTCTATTCATCTATATATACATCTATCTATCCATCTATCCTTCGATTGATCTATCCATCTATCTATCTATCCATCGATCTATCCACCTATCCATCCAAATCATCCTTCTACCAAATGTTCCATTTAACCATCCATCCATCCATTCGTATTTCTATCTATCCAATCAATCAATAAATCAATCAGCCAATCAATCAATAAATCAATCAGTCAATCAATCAATCAATTAATTAATAACTCAATCAATGTCAGTCTATTTATAGGCCCATTTATAAAAAGATTGAACAACTAAAAACTTTTTATTTTGCAGTATTAGTGCGTTGTTTTAAAAGATTTGTTTGTTTGACCATAGAATATATTAAAGGCGAAGAAGTCATCCCTAGTTGGTGGATGCTAGATCTTGAGAAGTATTGTCGGATTGATTTCGTACGAATTTTCCATCGATCTGGTCAGTTGGCAATTGCCATTCTATCATTTGTATTTCTTTTTTGCAATAAAGTCTAAAGCTTTTGGCAAAGATTATGTTTCACTCTCACATATTTCTGCTGTCTATGTATACATATGTAGTAGGGTGTATTTTTGTATATTTCTTTAGTTAATCTTAAGTACCTTTAAATTTATTCTATATTATTTATTTATATTAATCCACTATCCCGTATCCAAAGAGGCTATACAATGCAATGCAATGGGTTAATGACCCATTGAACATTCCATTTCCTATAGTCAAATAGATACCACCAGCTAACCCTCTCCCGAGAGTTGGGTGGTATGCTGTCGACATACCTGAGGAAGTAAAGGAAACGTCTTGTCAACATCATATGATGTATTACCGGACACAGGAAATCGGGAATGGACAGTGACTTTGGGTGTTGCCTGAGGCTAAAGGACCAAAGAAAATGGAATATTCGAATGAGTAGGGTGGAGCCAGATCCCCTACATATACCCATAATATCAAAGGAAACAAGAGAGAACAGGAAAGAAGGAAAAAGACACAGCAGAGAAGAAGGAACACTGAGAGATCCCGATCGGAACTCCAGCACACAGAAGTATAGTCCTATAATCGGATAGACTTAGGATAAATGTGAATTTTCTTCAGAAAACTGTTGACTGGAAACCTTCTTGAGTTAAAAAGGAAGAAGAATTACTACTCTTTTGGTTCCACTA